ATAGTCTCACCCCAAACTCAAACATTTGTTAGCTGCTTTGGATAAAAGCGTCTGCTAAATAATGCTGAATCAATGTAAACTCACGTCTCTTTGACCATCTGTTGCTGTGTCGAGCTGGTAGGGATGAACAAACAAACAAACAAACAAAGCAATCAGACACAAAACCACGTTTTACACTTTGTGAGGATCAACTTGCGTACCGTTGACTCTGCACATCAAGCTGGGATAGTTAAAGGTAACATAAAAACTCCATGCTGGAGCTTTGAACAGATTTTATTTTAAGGGAGCCGTTTAATCAAATTACTATTTATCTTTAACAGCCTCAAACCGAGATGGTCCTCACTGCAGAACACAAGATCCAGGGGGCGTGGTTGGATCCAGATCCAACTCCTCCCACCTTACATATACCTAAACCTACCTGTCTCCACCCCGATTCCTAAACCCACCCATCTCCCAGAGCTCCACCCCTAAACCTACCAATCTCCTCCCCCTAGATGTGGATCCAACCACGCCCCCTGGATCTTGTGTTCTGCAGTGAGGGGCTACTGGGGAAAATCACAAACGGGTTTATTGACTGTGGGCTGTCCTATGTAGATTGCCAGTGACAGCAGTGCTGCATCGTTCTGAAGACAGAGGCACTCTGCCATCTAGTGAGGGACGCGAGTAGGGACGCAGATTCTGACCAGGGTGAAAACACTCATATGTCTGATGTTGATTCCTAGACGGTCTTTGCATTAGGAATAGCCAGCAACAAGCTACTGACTTTGTACAAATTCTGTTTTTGACAACTTTTGTTCTTCTTTAAATTATATGATAAAAATATATATGATATAAAACAAAATGTATACATGCAAGTCGAAAACACTGCAATGAACCAGGGATATAATAATAGTTAACGTAAACTAAAACTATATTAAAAAAATAAATCTAACTAAAATTAAACAAAATATATTAAAACTACTCTTTTTTTTTCTGTGGAAGCTTGTGTCACAGTATACTAAAAAAAAAAAAAAAACTTTTTTTCCGAAAATTTGATTATATTCGCAATTCTACATTTATATCTCACAATTCTGAGAAAAAAAAAGTCTGAATTGTGAAATAAAAAGTCGCAATTACCTTTTTAATGTTTTATTCCAAGGCAGAAAGGTTATACGATTTTTTTTATTGCATTATTTTTCAGCTAATTTCTCGGAACATTTCTCATTTTCATTTCGTTAACGATGTACTAAAATAACTAAAAATAAAAATGAACTAAAACTATATAGACATATATAAAAATACTCTAAAAAACGACTTAAACTTTAACCAAAACAAAAATTATATATATACTGTGTATATATATATGTATATATAAAGTCAAAAATACCACTGTAACTTTACAGCTTTCCTTTATTACTCAACCACAGTACATCACATCTTCCAGCTAAAAAAGAAAACATTACCCAAAACACACACACCTTACATCATAAGGGGACACACCATAACCTCTTTATACAGACGTGTACCTGGAAATATACAGCAATTTTCTTGCAAATCCTGAAACAGATATGTGACTTAGTGTTACTAGAAATACAGCAAATTAGCTTTATATCGCTATACAAAACTTTGAGTCGGCATAGAGCATTTTAGAGTTCTCAGAAAAGGTTGTGCTGTTACTGAAAGTGCAAACCCTTCAAATGATCATCATGTGGAGGTTTGTGTGAGTCTGACAGAGAAAATACTCTATCCAGTTCTCACAAAGGTTTGACATTATTGCTCAGTAGTTCAGAGAAGTGAATACTAACCCTTTTCATTAGAGCTCTAAAAAGCAAAGGAAATAAAAATCAACATCCTAACATCCTTTTTATATATTAGGCTAACGTGAACTATATTTAAATCTCAGAAAGTCATATAATATACATTGAAAATCGCACGCTATAATTAGTCCATTTTCTTTTCATATCTTATCTATTACATGCATACTGTAATTGGCACACCACCTGCTTTAACACAAAGTTTGCTATGCTCTTTATGATACAGATGTCAACATGAAAAATAATTTTCCTGCTGTCTGTGGTTCCTAAGATCGATGTAAAGTAGGTTTTGCTTTACTGGCAGCATTTTAGAGACAAATATGCAGTGTGTTGTCAGCCAAATGAAAGAAAAAAGCTTAAATGTTCCTAAATACACACTGATTTTTACAAGTGTTAGGGTCTTAAAAATGTCAGTCATAAAAACCGTCTTAAGAACTACAGACGTCATGATAAAAAATGACTGACCTTAAGGGATGCATAGCAAACTAGTTGTTAAAGAGGTTGTAATGTCCTTTTAAAGAAATAGTTCACCTAAAAATGAAAAATCGTATCATTTACTCTCCATCATGGTGTTACAAACACATCTGACGTCTTAAATTGAAGAATTTCGGAGCCGTTTTTGATAAAGTGAAAGTATATAGTGACAAAAAAAAACATACAATTAATGTATCATAACCATAAGCTGTACAGTTGATAAATGCATTATAAATACTCAATTTAAAGAAACACACATGCAAAAAAAAAAAAATTATAATAATTATACATATATATATATATATATATGTATATATATATCATCATTTACTTATCCTCACGTCGTTCCAAACTTGTATGACTTTCTTCCGTGGAATGTAAAAGAAGATATTTTGGTTCCTATTGACTTGTATTGTTTGGGCAAAAAATACAATGGAAGTCAATGGGAACCAAAACTGAGTGGTTACCAACATTTTTCAAAGTATCTTCCTTTGTGTTCTGCAGAAGAAAGAAAGTCATACAAGTTTGAAATAACATGAGTGAGTAAATGATGACAGATTTTCATTTTTGAATGGTTATTCACCAATTCTTCATCTTCTCTGAACCTGACAACCCTTGGTCACAATATGCTTTCACTGTATGAAAAAAGAGAAGCTTATAATATTCAAAAATGATCCTTTTATGGTCCATGAAATTAAGTCTTACAGATTTTCATTTTTGGGTGAACTATCACTCCAAGTCAAAAAAATTTAATAAAACAATCTACATGTCCAGACTGCAAAGACACACCTATCCCTTTAAAAATGGCTCTTAAACAGTGAAAGGTTTGTTTATATAGCAAAGACTTGTCAACCTTATAAAAATAGATCTGGAAGTTCATGTTAAATATCCATTGACCACATAAGAGCATGTCTAATACAGCTAGGCTTGTTTGCGAGAGAAAAGGCCGCTATAAATAGCTCAATATACAAACTTGCAATTAGAAATAGCAAAAACGACAGTAATGTGATTTGATGACCTGGCATGCGGTAATATTAAAAAACTTGTCACGGGTCTTCCTCTCGCAGACATAAACACAGACAAGAGGTCAGCAGTGGATGGAGGTCATGACCCCATTCTGAGACGGCTCAGAAAACTGTCAATCACACATCAGTCTGGGGTGGACTTGGGCGGCAGAGTTCATTTACGCAGCATTACATCAACGTGCACGAGCTTATTGAACTGAATGCAGCAAGAACATGTGATGTTTTGGGAGTGGCGTGAGGTTTCCCGTCATTCAGGTCAGGTGCTCACAGTGGGCAAAATCACGTCTATTAACCTCCACCACAATTCAGCGTGTGGGGGAACAAAGGATCACAACTCTAAATATTTACAAATTCAGTCCCCATTTTAGGGGCTGGAAATGCCCACTACTTCATTGTGATACATACGTCACAATTCAATACACTGATGCATCACAATATCATATCAACTGGACCAGGGAAGAGTTTTAATCTCTCCCGCATGTTTTACTTCACTTTTGTCTTATAGAAGCAGCTCTGGTTTTTAGAGTTTTTGCTTATTTAGACAATCCGTTTCTTGTTAAACAGATAAACAAAACGAATGAACACATGAATAAGGGTTATACAAGGATTAATGCAATATGGTGAGCTGGGGGGAAAGTCATAAGACTGTTCAAAAGTTTGGGTTGGTAAGATTTGTTTACGTTTTTTTAAGTAAGTTTCTTTTGCTCTATAAGGCTGCATTTATTTGATCAAAAATACTGTAAAAACAGTAATATTGTAAAATGTTATTGCAACTTAAAATAAGTTTTCTATTGTAATATGCAATTTATTCCTGTGATGGAAAAGCTTATTTTCACTCCAGTCTTCAGTCTCGCATGATCCTACAGAAAACATTCTAATATATTGATTTGTTGCTCAATGTTAATTATCAAACAGTTGCTTTCAATGTCTTTGTGGAAACTGTGATCCTTTTTTTTTCAGGATTCTTTGATGAACAGAAAGTTGAAAACAACCAGCATTTATTTGAAATAAAAATATTATTTAAAATAAACATTATGAACGTCTTTACTGTTACTTTTGATCAATCTTAATGTGCCCTGGCTGAATAAAACAATTAATTTTCAAATAAAAATCGTACTGATCCCAAACTTTTGAACGGCAGTGTGTTTCCATATATCCATACTCTATCGGCACAACTCTACCCACATCCTTAAAAACAGTGTTTGAGTCCCAAACTCCTATTTTAAATTTTTTTATTATCACTATTATCCATTTTAGAATACTAGTGAAGTCATGAAAACTATAAAATAACGCAAACTGAAGTATGTAACGACCAAAAAGTTCTTAAATCAAAATGGTCTTACATTTGAGCTTCTTTGTCAAGATTCCAGCTCTGGACATTCAGCAACTTCATGAGCAGCATCCTGGGATGGTTTTTGAACAGTACTGAAGTTTACATGCATACTGAATTTCTTAAGTAGGCACAATGTATATTTGTCTACAAATTTAATTTCAAGCATTTAAGCAGAAGACATCAGATCGAAAGGTTTTTAAGATCATGAAAAACAAACTCAGAGTGTCCAAACTTTTGACTGGTAATTGCAGTCTCTAACTGTGGAGCTTCAGAAGAGCAGAAAAGAAGGTTTGAATCAAAACACATTCACACACACAGCGAATGGTCTAAAAAAAGGTTAAAAACACACACACACACACACAAACAACACACACAACACACACACTGTCCAGCAGAGAGTTCTTGTCTGAAATTGATGATGCTGTATTTTAAAACATACTGGTCATATACTTACCCACAAGACCTAACAAAAGAGAAAGTACATAAACACCCAGGAGATAAGGGCTTCATCAAGAGATATTGGATATTAGTCCTGTTCAAATGACATTTAATTTGTCCTGGTCACAATCACAAGCCAAATCAACTGCGAGTGCCTCAGACGTACTGAGGTCCTGAGACCGACGCTCACACATTCAGATCTTTTCGGTGTTAAGTTGAGGGGTCTTCTCAGTAGAAAACTCACCTCCAGGCTGATAGAAATGTGAAAGCTGAAAGTTTACAGAAGAAAAACACCCTCCAGAACCAGATTCTGTTTGTTTGCTTTCCATATACGTCAACCATTTATTGACGCGAGCACAATGAACGGTGCGTTTACTGCGCAGCCACTTCCTGGCTGATGAATCGGCGCAGGCGTTCCAGGTACTGGCTGTAGAGCTCGATGTCGTTGTGCCCGGCTCCTTCCACCCACAACGGCTCCACGGCCTTTGGGCAGCGCTCAAACAAGGCCAGACCATGAGAGAAATCAATGACTTCATCCTCTGTCCCGTGGATGATCAGCACTGGAGATGTGATTTTAGACACCTTCTCAATGCTGAGTGAGCATAAGACACAATAAAGAGTCATTAAAGAAACAGTCCACAAAATTCTGTCACTATTTATTCTCCCTAATGTTGTTCAAAACCTGTATGACTTTCTTCTGTGGACCTTAAAAGGACATTTGGAAGAACATACTGGTCTTTTGTCCAGGGCGATTGTACTTCAGCCTTCAAGAAGGTCACAAAATAAACATCAAAGTAGTTTATATCAGTCTAAGCAGTATATTCTGAAATCATACAGTAGTTTTGGGTAAGGAACAGAGCAGTAGATTTGTCCAAATGTGCCCTTTTACACTATTGTAGTACCAAAAGTTTGGTGTCCTTAAAACTTTTTAATGTTTTTGAAAGAAGTCTTGTATTTGATCAAACATTCAAAAACAAGTAAATGTTTACAATTTTAAAAATTCTATTTAAAAAAAAAAACTCAGTGTCACATGATCCTTCCTAAATCATTCTAATATGCTGATATTTTGCTCAAGAAACATTATCAATGTTGAGAAAAAAAAGTTGTGTTGCTTAATATTTTTGTGAAAACGGACCAATATTTTTCAAGATTCTTTGAAAGTTCAAAATAACAGCATTTATTAGAAATAGAAATCTTTTGTAACAATATGAATGTTTTACTGTATATTTTAATCAATTTAATGCATAGTTTCTGTATTTAACATCAATTTCTAAAAGTCTTAGTACAAACTTCTAAACAGTAGTGTATTCCACAGAACACAAGTCATACATAAATAGAACAACATGAGCATGAATAAATGACAAAATCGTCTTTTTTTTTTTTGCTGAACTACCCTTTTAGTCAATAAAGAGGTCATACAAAATTTTATTTCCCAACCCAGTATAAATAAACCTGGAAAAGGCCATTATTGTACTATCCTGCAGTCAAAAAGCTAGTATCTTCATTGATGGCCATTCAAAATTAGAGTATGCAGATTAAGTATTTTGCAAGCAGTGCTAATAAAGCACACATATTTCAGATTATAGTAGATGCTTAGCACAGCACTTACGGCTGAAGACTTTGTCAAATAAATGACATACTGTAAGCACACCTAAAACCGCACATCAGCTTAGTTCAATATTAATGCATGACCTTGAGCAGCCTATTGTTTTAATATATCCTAATATTCTAAACAACGGTGTTAACATCTTTGTCATGTAAGGAAAAAGGTTTTCAGTGTTCACTGACTTCGGGAAGGCGTCAAAGCAGTACGTCTTCTTGGTGTCAGGGAATGCCACCCTCATTCCTGAGGTGAGGGGTGAGTGAAGTACCACGGCAGCACACTCATAACGGGACGCCAGGTCCACGGTGGGCACGGTACCAATGCTCTGCCCGTAAAGAATTATATTCTCAGGGCTGATGCCATACCTGAGACAACAGAGAAGTGATTTCACACAAAATAAACAAAACGCACCTGAATTTCAATAATGCACCACTTCAGCTGCATGCTTTCTAGTCTCTAGATTCTGACATACCTTGAGCGCAAAGCGTGCCATGCAGCATCTATGTCTGCATACAGATTCTTCTCCGAGGGTTTCCCTGTACTGACCCCATAACCAGAGTAATCATAAGAGAAGATGTTGCAATTGATACGAGTGCCCAGACCGATGTAGAAGCTGCTCATCTGACCGAGATCCACAGCGTTACCGTGAGAGAAGAGCACAGTGTACCTGTAGTCCACAAAACAGGAATGGATTTAGAGAACTGGCTTTAAAATGGATTGTGAGATTGTTTGCATATCAGAACAATGCAAAAAAATAACATTTCTTGATTAAAGGGATAGATTAAAGGGAATGCCGGCTCCTGCGTCAGCAGCATCACACACATGCGTCGTGGTACTCTCGTGAACGCGCGGCGGAGACTGACACGGAAGAGAAGAAATTGTTAAATAAAGTCATTATTTGTTTTCTTTGCGCACAAAAGTATTCTCGTAGCTTCATAAAATTAAAGTTGAACCACTGATGTCACATGGACTATTTTAACAATGTCCTTACTACCTTTCTGGGCCTTGAACGTGGTAGTTGTATTGCTGTCTATGGAGGGTCAGAAAGCTCTCAGATTTCATCAAAAATATCCTAATTTGTGTTCTGAAGATGAACACAAGTCTTACGGGTTTGGAACGGCATGAGGATGAGTAATTAATGACAGAATTTTCATTTTTGGGTGAACTAACCCTTTAGGAGGAAGAAATACAACAATATAAAGCTGGCATCTATACATAAACAGAACTTAGAGTTATCTCCATAAATTAATCAGTACTTATTTTGTACAAGCATAAAGTCTATAATTTTAAGTCTGTACACTTTTCTGCAGTTTTTCTTCTAAAACTGTATTATAAAGTGCAATATCGGGTTCCAGAAGTAAAAATCCCATTAATGTTCTCTAATAGGGGAATTGATTTTGAACAATAATTTATAAACCTTTAAATACAGACCTAATGTAAGCTATGAGGTTATTAATAATGGTATATGCTTTTATTGAACCTATCAGCCCTAATTTTTTCAACTTATTAAATCGTATATCAGCTTATGTAATCATAATTCCTGGTGAAAAACTACATTATCCATGATTCTTTACCACACATATACACACATACATACATATGTGTGTGTGTGTATATATATATATATATACACATACACATACATATGTGTGTGTGTGT